ATTTTGAAAAAATTACAAAAATACAATCCATAAATAAATTATTACATCTCTACCTAATATGTAATAAATAACTACATTAATACCTAAAGTAAGTTACTATATTCATTCAATCTTCATCCCCCTTTTTGTGGCTTTGATTAAGGAGAGAGAAATGAAAATAATAACTGACTAATTTAATTCCTTAATTCACGGAGTCGTCGTCAGGTGGTATATTTTGCGTTTATGTTGGTATATATTCAGTATATGTTGCAATGAAAAAAATGTCTTCCATCAAAAAATTATTATTTTTTTTTTACTTTTAAAAGTAAAAGTATATATAAATATATACAAATCTTCTAATATGGTGAACATATATTGAACATATACTCCATATACACACAACATATACTTAATAGTTTAAAAAAGTTTTCTAATATATTGAACATATACTCAATATACACATCACATATACTCCATATACACACTTCTACTTAATAGTTTACAAAAAATCGTCTAATATATTGAACATATACTCAATATACACATCACATATACTCAATATACACACCTCTACTTAATAGTTTACAAAAAATCGTCTAATTTGAACATATACTCAATATACACACCACAATCAGTTTATGCTAAATATAAATTGATTTTATATATAAAAATTATGTCTCGCGATAAATTTCTTTATCATATACCGAAAATATACTTAATATAAACCATACATATACCCAAATAAATTAGTTTATACAAATTTGGATATTGATCTTAAATTGAAACTACTGTTTTTAACTTTGAAAAAGGCTACTATAGTTGTATTTTTATTTGATACATATCAATCAACAATCAACATAACAATATGATAGTAAAAAACAACCACCTAATTTGAAAAACATTATAATATATATAAAATGGTTTGATACAGCCTTTGATCACAATCTTCCTAAATGCCTCAATCAATTACATTCTAGAGCGAATAATCCCATAAATAAATAAAAGCAAATACTGATTCCTGATAATTTCCGTAGAGAGATGATAGCAGGGAGAGAGAGGGTGTAATTTCCACTCTATTAGGTAATGATATATTTGATTCCAATTAATTATCTCAGTTGCATTTAATTTGTCCCAATAATTGCTTAATTACGGTTACATGAGCACCATTCAAAATTTTAGGTATAAGTGCAAATATTTAGGCTTGTTTTAGTAATTTTATAAATAAAATTATGATTGGTTTATGTTACAAAAGTGTGTTTCGAATTACAACGGGAACCTATGAACTGATTGAAGAGTTCAGTTCGTACAAAAGAACTAAAACAAAAAATGAAATTACAACTCGAACGCGGAGAGATTTGAGCCGAGGCGATTGAAATCTATCCGCAAGACAAATACGCCCCGTGTAGTGCTGACGGGTCAGTGCATAATGTCCCCAAAGATACAACGGCTTTAACACTCGGAAGCTGTAGCACACCAGCCTTCAGAGTCCAGTCGAACAAGAATGAAGTCGAGAACCGAGAACTATGATATGATGCGTGAGGCTTTTGAGAGTATCAGATTGCATGAAATGCTATGTTTCTTTCACTGCAGCTCTAAGTCCTATTTATAGGACTTCCACATCTTGAGGGAAACCAGAAGTCATATCTGCCACTTAAGGCAGAGATAATGGGCATAAAACGTTTTC